ACCTAACGCTTGGTTTGTGGTTATGCCGTTATGATGTTCTGAGTTGGTTTTGTTTTTTTTCTCTAATTCAATACAGATGCAAATCTTTGTGAAAACCCTTGCTGGAAAAACCATTACCCTGGAGGTGGAAAGTTCTGATACCATTGATACTGTGAAACCAAAGATCCAGGTCAAAGAAGGTATTCCCCCAGACCAGCAGAGGCTTATCTTTGCTGGCAAGCAGCTTGAGGATGGGAGGACCCTCGCTGACTACAATATTCAGAAGGAGTCAACACTTCACTTGGTCCTTCGTCTTCGTGGTGGTATGTAAACTTTGAACACGTATGCCCTTATCAATCTGATTGTCTCATACGTGGCTGATTAAAGTTCTGTCATATTATTGGGTGCTAGATCCTTTTCCTGATCCAAATGTGCACATCCGTATTCAGCAGCGCAACGGTGGGAAAAAGCTGACAACTGTCCAGGGGTTGAAGAAGGAATTCGGCTACAAGAAGATACTCAAGGACCTTAAGAACGAGTTCAGCTGCAATGGCACTGTTTTCCAGGACCCTGAATTAGGGCAGGTATGTGAAAACCACATGTAAAATTGATCTTTATTCTCTCTTTGTTAGTGCACCTCATCTTTTAATTGATCTTATCTATGTGAATTTATAGGTTATTCAACTTCAAGGTGACCAGCGGAAGAATGTCTCCACCTTCCTTGTTCAGGCTGGTATTGTGAAGGAGGAAAATATAATGATCCATGGTTTTTAGGCTGCAGCAGCAAGAATTTCCCCTTATCGTATATATTCCTCTATTGTTTCCAATTAGAACATAATATCATATAAATCTCTGTTGGGTTATCTGACTATATGCATCTCGCGTTTGTTCTTCTATCTACCATATGGTTTGTGTAACTCTGGATGACTATGGTATCTATGACAGTTTGTTTTCGATTAGTTATTGGTATCCAAATTAAACTAGTTCTAGTATGGTATTATTCTATCTATCACCACATGCGTCCAAGTAATTTGATGGCAATGTCTTTTACCATGTTAACATAGCTGAATGCTAATCCCCTCTAATATATGATTCTTTGATTGCCGGGCTCCTCTTGCCAGTAGCTTGAGCTGCTCCGGTATCATCCCTGAGCCATGGTGCATGATCTAGTTCTCTGATTTGGTAATGTCCTAGGAAATTCTTGCAACCTAGAAGTATTTGAACAATTGAAATCCAGCAACCTATAATAATATCAGGAATGTGCCCGAAGTACAGAGTGGTTTGGTAGTAGCTTCTTATTAAAAAATATTAATATAATTATGTTTTTAAGAATATGTTGATTTATCGAATTGTAAAATATTTTCTTAGATTAAAATCTTAATTTGTTCTCTTTACTTTGATAGAAAAGTTTTTCTTTTTAGTTTTTTTATTTTAAAAAATCCTTTTTTGGATTTTAAAGTTTGAAATTTGATGTCTTTTTAATTCATCCATTAAATCATCCATTAAATTTTGACGTTAAATAACTGAAATTTAAACAAAAAAAAAAAAGGTTTTCTTTCAAAATAGAAAAATCAAATTGAG